CTGATGGCAGTGAACATGCCTATGGTGCCGTCTTTTACCTGCGGTGGGCCTGTGACCATGGTTCGACAGTAAGATTGGTGGAGTCGAAGGCTAAATTGACTCCTCTAGACCACAAGGGGGAAGCAGTACAGGCAGAGCTGTGTGGACCAGTCTTCGCCGCCCGCTTAAAGAAGTACTTTGAGCAACATAGCCACATCCAAGTCGAGCAGTGGTACCACTTCGTCTACAGTCAAACAGTCCTTGGTGCAGTCCAGCGTGAGAGCTATGGCTTCCAGACGTTCTTCGCCAACAGGATGAGAGAAATCCAAAGCAGCACGCAATTGGAGGATTGATGGTGGGTCCCTGGGCATTGCTGACATCATCACCTGGGGGGGCTAGTCCGAAAGACTTGGAGAAGATTCAGCATGGCAGCAAGGACCAAAGTTCCTGAGTCTACCAGCTGATGAGTGGCCAATCAAGTCTGCAAAGGATGTGTAAGCAACTGCCCAAGAGTGCACTGGTAAGATGCAGAAGAAATCATTTTTTGCTGCACTTACAAGAGCTCAAGTAAAAAAAGTACTGCCAGATCAAAAGCATCGAAGGCCACCTGCTGGCGCAGCTGTCCAAAACCTGGTGGATGAAGGACAGTTCAGCAATTTGACTCAGCTGGTCAAGGTGGTCGCATGAGTCTGGGGGGCAGCAAAGAGGTTTGCAGGACGAAAAAAGGACTTTAGGAACTCCAAAGTGGGAGGTGGTTTCAGCAGGCGGAGTCATAACTGCAACAGAACACCAAGATGCCCTAAGAGACCTTTTCCTTGCTGCACAAGAGGGTGTGGCCTTTCCCACCACCTCTACAGACTGGCTGGTAGTCTATAGAGAGCAAAAAACTGGACTGCTGGTTTGTGGTGGGAGAGCCCAGTTGGTGTTACCCTCTTATCTTACAGCGCTTGGATCTCGACACTGTTGGTTCGTGAGGCTCACAGCAAGGGTCATGAGGGAGTGGCTGTAACTCTACTGAAGGTGAGAAGGAAAGCATGGGTCATCAAAGGAAGGAGGATTGCTCAAAAAGTCATTGACAACTGTGTGATCTGCAAGAAAGCCAGAGCCAGAAAATGTCAACAAGTGATGGGAAATCTACCTTAAGAGAGAACTAGACCTGCAGCCCCTTTCGAGTTCACAGCTGTGGAACTGTTTGGACCTTATCAAGTCAAAGATGATGGGGGAGTCATATTCTGCTGTATGGCCAGTAGAGCTATCCACACGGGGCTGGCCAATACCATGTCGACTGAAAGTGTCCTGATGGCTTATCAGAGATTCACGGCAATTCGAGGGCATCCTAAGAACATTTGGTCTGACCCGGTGATCAATTTTGTCAGTTTGGCAGTGGAAAATCCAACCGGCCGATTCACCACATCGTAATGGTGCCACGGAGCAGCTGTTCACATCCTGAAGAAGGCATTCCAGAGTTTGGGGAGAGAGCCATTCCTCAGCTGCAGTGAGCTTCAGACAACCCTCCAGCTCACTGCTAATCTTGCTAATGAACGTCCTATCGAAGCTAGGGTACAGAGCCTCGAGGACAGCGTGTAGTACATCACGCCCAATGCGCTCATGCTGAGACGAGCACCTTCGAGTGGTGACTGGAAGATTTGTGACTTCACAAGCTATCCCTACAAGAGACTCCAGGAAATGCAGCACCAGGTTAACAAGTTCTGGAGGTCCTGGAGCCAGCTTGCTGGTCCTTATCTGTTTGTAAGAAGTAAATGGCACACCTTACAGATGAATGTTGCTGTTGGAGACATCGTTTGGCTGTGTGATCAGAACGCATTGAGAGGCCAGTTCAAGCTTGGAAAAGTCGTCAGTGTCAATCCCGACTCCAGAGGCATTGTATGGGATGTGAATGTCAGGATTGTTCCAAGCGTCTGTACAGTGTGATACAGACGCTTGGAACAATCCTGACATTCACATCCCATACAATGCCTCTGGAGTCGGGATTGACACTGACGACTTTTCCAAGCTTGAACTGGCCTCTCAATGTGCTGTCCTGACGACTTTTCCAAGCTTGAACTGGACTCTCAATGCGTTCTGATCTGCTGCAACATCAGCATCCAAGCATCCAAGCATCCTGCCTCCAGCATCCAGAGGGACCTTCGGTCCACAGTTCTTCACTGGGACGTCCGGCGACTGGTTGTCCTGCTGCCAATTGAGGAGCAGGAAGGAGGCCCAGGAGGGAATCTCTGACCACAAGTGCACCATGTTTTGCAATCTTTCCAGTGGTTTCCTTGAGAAGATCGAGTGGGAGGTGTTGAGCGGAACTGTTGGCCACGCCCTTCCAGCCTGGGTGCACCAGGTTGAATGCCCCTCCCAGCCTGAAGGCACAAGGCTGAGTGCACCAGGTGAGGGTGGTTTGCTAATCATCTGGGTTTGGAATCACAGAATCACTACAGAACAGCAGTGGGAGCAAGCAGGAGAGGTTGCTGAGTTATGAGGATTTGGACACCAAGACTCTTTGTACAAAACTAAGCCTACAAGGAAGAAGGAGCCGGTGAGCTTTAATGCATTGTCTGTTGTTTGTAGCATTGTTTCTAGCCCATTGTTTGCAAGTCACTTTAATGATCTGATTAAGGATTATAAATATTAATGTTTAAAATCATGTTGGATAAATATAATCAAAAATGCTGTCATGGTAGTTAAATTCAATTAAAACTGATACATTTAAAAATCACGTGAGTTAAATACAATTAAAGTGTGAGCATTTAGATCTATCTTAAAAAAGCTGTTAGTTCTGTATAGTTAAGATCATGAAGTCAAATCAAATTCCACACAAAGAATGTATTTAATGTGTTTACTGTATTTAACTTAGTTACTTAAAATATTGCTCTATTATTTGCTACTTATTCACAAGGTTTATTTCTGGTTATTTGGTAATTCAAGTCTTTGCTATATGTTGCACTGAATGTGATTATCTTGCTTTTCATTTTCTTAAAGTGTTGTTTTTTTGTGTTTAAAGGTTTTTCACCTGGTTATTCACCATTGCATCAAACCTATAAATAAAAGAAAGAAGAAAAAGAGAGCAAAAGTGTGATGAGTGGAATCCTGTGAAGTCTAACTGAAATTAGCTGCCTTTTCAAGTGGGGGAGTTTTGCACACTGACACCTTGCAACAGTGAGGGCACTTAACATATACACTTGAAGATCCACTCTTTACTAAAAGTGTATGTCATGAAAACTAAAGTAATGGTCAAAGTTGCAATATAGAATATTTATGGTGTGTTGATTGAGTCACGTTGTCAGCTTGGGCATTGAGTAACATTACAGGTTAATGTTCCACCTTAAAGTCCCAGCAGTCGGCCCAGTGTATGAAATTATTTTTCTTTGACTCCGGCTGCTGCAAGAGGCAGCAAAACAACCTTTCATTGCATATTTACAGGTTACTAATTAAATGCTCCACGATATGAACAGTGGCTTCTGCCTCATAACCAGCCATAGCTCAGCCCTGAGCAGAGTGACCATCTGCTACTGACCAATCAACGGACTGCAGTGTTCACAGCTCCACCTTTTAGTACCAGATCTGTGTGCTAGGTACCCCAACAGAAGGGGTACCAAAAATGGTAATGGTATGCAACGGTTCCATCAGTGCTATCCACAACTTTTTGCAGTGGAAACAGGAAAAAAAGCATACTGAACTGAACCGTACCTTACCATACTGCTCAGTGGAAACAGGGCTTAAGCCTCAAAACCAGCCAAAACTCAGCTCTGAGCCAAGTGCCTGTCAGCTATTGACTAATCAACGGGCTGCAGTGTTCACAGTTCCATCTTTTAGTACCAGATCTGTGTGCTAGGTACCCCAACAGAAGGGGTACCAAAAATGGGGACGGTACGGTATGATTCCATTAATACCACATACAACTTTTCACAGTGAAAACAGAAAAAAGCATACCAAACCAAACTGTACCGTACCGTACTGCTTGGTGGAAATATGGCTTAAATGTTTCAAAGTTGGGTGTGGGAACCGGAACGAATTGGTTCCATGTTGGTGGAAAAAGGGTAAAGAGGGACACACAGGGAACTAAAAGGAAACACAAGGGAGGGAAAACCAGCAGAAACTCAAGAAACAAGGGAGAGGCACAAATGGGACCTTAACACTTCTCTTGCCTTTATTACTGTAACACTCTTCTGGCAAACCTGTCAGCATGCACAGTAAAACCTCTAAAAATGGTCCAGAATGTGTAGCACTCACATTAAGTTACAGTCACTAATGCACAACTATAGGGTAATACCTTTTTGAAGTCCGTCCATCATTCAGGTTTATTTACCTTTTCATTCGCCATTATCATACAGTGAATGACAGCTAGTCCTGTGAGGCAGGAAATCTCATTTCAGACTCTTCTTTTGCATTGTCCTCCGATTGTAAAATGGATAATTAACTCAATTTGGTCAGCAGAATCCTTTTCTGTCTCTAAAACTGCTTGAAGCCCTTTCTCCTCCAAGATGACCTAACCTGAGGTGACCTAATATGCTCTCTTTGTCTCTTACCTTAAAAAGCAAAAATTCTCATTTCCTATGCAGTTATGTGTTTTTGATACCTGTGGCACAGGTGGTTCACAATTTGAAATTGAGCCTTGTGGCCTGTTTCTCATTCATATATTCCTTTGACAAAAGAATAATTGTAAATATTACTGTAAAATGTCCCACTTTCCACATTGGGTAATTCTTCAATAACTGCATTTAGGGGATCCTTATTGGAAATTGGAAACTTTGTTTATGTTAAAAAAAAAAGGGTGGATAGGAAATAAGCAAATGGATTGTTTTCTGACTGACTGTCTTTCTTTAAACCCTCAAATATCAATATCTGTCTCATAAATCAAGCATGGGTTGGCTCCAGTTGGGTGTGCAGTGTTTACCCAGGGATAGAAGAAGTCAGCAGAGGAAGCAGATGACTGAGAACAGAGGGAGGAGGTTATTCCTCTCTCTTAATGCTCTGCTTCTTGCTTGCTCTTTCCATCCATCTTTTTCTCATCACAGGCACCTACAGCCAGTCGGCAGCCATCCAGCTGAGGGAAAGCAGGGGTGGGGAAGACCACCAAGTAGAGGGGCTACTCCTCAACTGGCTGGAAGCTTCCACCCCACCAATTCGTGATCCCCCTCGCACTCTGCCTCTCCCACCTCACAAGCAACTCATGGACCTCCAGCACCAGCAGGGGCAACCCAACTCTGAACCTGTGCCAGACCCCAACAAGAGGGCTGCGGAGGGTCTGGAGGGTGCAGAAGTAGTCAGGGTTGGGACGGGTATCAGCAAGGTAAGCGGGCAGGGGAGCGGAGGTGATGGAAGTGGGCTGTCCAGCTACTATAGGCCCACTCGCAGGGGGTCCCCAAGGCCGAGCACCCATAATCACTTTGACATTAATGAGCACCTTCCCTGGATGATAGTGCTGCTGCTCCTGCTGGTGCTGGTGGTGATTGTGATTTGCAGCGTGAAGCGCAGCTCTCGTGTGCTGAAGAAGGGTCCCATGCAGGACCCCAGCAGCATCATGGAAAAGGCAATTCAGAAGAAACCATCTGCGCCTCCAACACAGGTCAAAGAGAAGTGGATCTACTACTCCAATGGACAGGGTAAGCCAGCTGTATCTTTGTATATTTGAACAAGAATGATTCTAATGAAAAATTGCAGAAGGCTGCTTCAGTGCACAAATAGGTGAAGTTAAAGAAAAATAGAAAAGTGCAGTAAGTAGCGTGCAGATCTCGGCCAGGCAGAGTGTCACATTGTGTGGTGGACAGAAAAAAGATGGGTTACAATGTTGACACCCCAAAACTTGGCACAGGTCTACCTGATGTTATTGTCCCTCCTGGCTGCAATTATTTTTTTCGTAGGATAGCGAAAGCATAACCCGCCCTACTCTCTCTGATTGGCCAGTACCTGTTGTCTTTGTTGTTGGGTTGGTTAGGTTTAGGCAAGACGAGTGGGATTAGTTAGAATTAGAGTACAAATGCCAGGGTAAGCCAGTCAGAGGCAGAGTGAGGCAGAGGAGGATGGGCCATGTCTTTGTTGTCCTAGAAAACGCAAATTGTCCCTGACTCCCTTACAGTCAAGATGGTTGCAAAGATTACAAAAATATTGACTTATTCATCTTATTTCAGGCCTAACTTTAGTGGATCATAACATATTGGGTATGGAATTGATCTGCAGATGCGTCAGTACAAAATGACACCAAGCTTTCTATGGATGTCAGTTTTTGAGCCACATCAAAATTTAAATTTTTCAATTCAATTCAATTTTATTTATAAAGCCCAATATCACAAATCACAATTTGCCTCACAGGGCTTTACAGCATACGACATCCCTCTGTCCTTATGACCCTCGCAGCGGATAAGGAAAAACTCCCCAAAAAAAAACCTTTAACAGGAAAAAAAATGCCTGTTGTTTATAAACAAAGCACTAAAAGTAAGGACATTTGTGTTTGGTAGATTCTTTCTTTGTTGTAACGATGCTTCTTGGCAAGAAATCTTATACCTTTGGAGAGCCTGTTTATTTCCCTTTTCAATGGTGCCACATTTGTGAGGAACATGCATTTGTGGGATGAGCAGCAGAGCTCAGTATGTGGGTTGCGCCCATGAAACTTTTTGCGAAATCTTCTCTGCTAATGCCAAACAGCTTTTTTTGCTGTTGACTCTTGTTTGGGGTTATTTGGTGGATTGGATGATTGAGGTCTGAAGAAACAAGACATATTGGCAATTTAAAGGGGCAAAAAACAAAATCGTTTCACCGCTAGGTTTGCTGTTGTGCACTGCCTGTAGACCAAAACAAAGTGTGTCATGAGCCACACCTCCCTCTACCTCTGCTCCACTTCACTCAGCTGCCCGATAAACCCGTTGCTTCTTCCCACTTTAACCTGAACAAACCATGGCTCGGTGCTCCGGTTGGATCCAAACGGAGAGCCGGGGCTAGCTTGGAAGCTAGTGGAGGCTAATTGGCTGTGCTTCTCTCCGGTCACACTCCCAGCTAGCTCCGGTTTGTTATTCAGGTTAAAGTGTGAAGAAGCAGCAGATCTGTCAGGCAGCTGAGTGAAGTGGAGCCTGAGGAGGAAGCACTGGTTAGCCCCGGTTTCACTACAGGCAGATTCACTCGCTACAGGGTCAAGGGAATAAAACCATAACAGCCAACTTAGTTTGGCTTAGTTTAGCAGTTAGCGATGTCTTTCACTCACTCTCGGTCTCTGCTGTGTTTAGTTATTCCCCTGCCTACTTCAAAAATGATGGTATCTGTAATAAATGTAATATATTTGCTGAGATGGAGGCGAAGCTCAGTGACTAGAAGAGGTGGTAGAAGCGCTCCATAGCTGTAAGTTACTAGTGTAGCTGGTGGCAGCTGACTAGTGCTAACTGCTAACGCTCCCTGGAGCTAAGGCTAACGTTCCTACTCTTCTCACCAGGCTCATGGGCTCATGGCAACAGATCCAAGTTCTGATGGCACCATGACACAGGGAGTTGATTAATTAAATTCACTATAAATTTACATGAATGTCGTAGAGACCTAAAATCTTTTTCAGCTTGTTCACTGAATTGAGATGCAACTTTGCTACACTGCAACCTATGGCCTATTTTGATGTCAGTCACTCTAGTTATTTAAAAAACAAATATCTTGGACCTGCAAAGATGGCAGCTTGAGAGAAATTCTCTACCGGCAACCTAGATTAAATAGCCTTATAAATATAATAAACTTGCTTTAAACTTGAGCTCAAATCATGGTTAAGGGCTAATTCATGACAAAAGACTGGCAGAACAGAGCCAGAAGCAAGAAATCTACAAAGAGTGTTGATGCACATGATAACCCGAGTCGTGTGTCCTCTCCTGCTAGCTGCAGCTCACCAGCTAATGCTAACGGAGTAGAGGGCGTGGATGAGGACACGAAGATCAATCTGAACACTATATTCCAGGAGATAAAAAAAATTTCCGACAAGACAATAAGCAGCAACTGAGAGAAATCAAAGAAGAGATCAGCAAAACTAAACTGAGACAGATCCTAAACAGGATTCAAATACGAACTATGGAAGAAGTGGTGAATGAGCTCATAAAACTTCAGACTCACCTGGAAGCTAAACTAACAGTTTTTTTGTTTTTTATTTATATTTTGTGAACACAAAGTAACTGAACCAGAACTAAAGAACAGAACAAACGTCTAACTAATCTATTAAGTATTCTATCAACTACTTACTCTAAACTCTACTTACAAAACTAAACTTACAAAAATTGGAAAATGTAGTCACCCCTTGGGTAGTGGTGAGGCAGGAGGGTTTGTCTTTGTTGGCCTTGTCCAAGTCGTTCTTCATGAGCATCAGGATGAGGTACTCCTCACTGGCTGTCTGCATTGTTTACCACCCAGTTCTCCATCTTGTCCCCACTCTCCTCTGGTCCAGGGATGAAGAAGGTGTTGACCCAGAAGTGGAACATTTTGTCCCTCTTCCTCAGCTTATTCTGTTTATGGAAGAACTCCACTTTGATGTCTCCACAAACAGGCAGTGGCTGAGGGAATTCAAAATAAATTTGCCTCTCCTTGTGCAGGGTTATATGTATTTATTTTCACCTTCAGTTGGTATAGCACAACGTGGGGTTAGGGGAGGGGGGTCAGGGTTAGGATAAGTGCTGAAAAACTGTCAGTGGCTAAGGGGATTCAAAGAACATTTGCTTGTCCTCTTGAGCGGGGCCCTACGTGTGGATTGTTACTTTCAGCTGGTATAGCACAAAGTGGGGTTTGGGTAGGGGAACTGATCTTGGAAAGGAAAATACTGGCTGCTCCTGAAAGGTTGGAGATGTTGTTCTGCAGAAATGACCTCTCTTGCTGCTCTTTGCTCTTATACTGTCCCCAATTTGGAATTTTTATTTTTTATTTTTTTAACTGGGTTAGGTTGTGTAAGGGTTAGATTAGGAAATGATGGTCTTTCAATATTATTTTTTTAAAGGTTTCAGTTTTTTATTGTCTAATAGACAAGGCATAGTTTCCTTCAAGGGGAAATTTCAAATGACATTTTAAAAAAAACTGTAGGTAAGGGGGTGAAAATTGATAATCCTCGATGATGGAACCAGGAAGGTGGTAGAGCTGTGAAATTTGGTAGTCCTCTGGATGGGCTTTAAGCATGCAGAGTTTGGTGGGTTAGGATAGAGGAACTGCTTCCATCTCCTCCTCAAAAAGACAGGAGGTGCACAGTCCATCTGTCCGTGAAACTCATGAAAATTTGATATTTAATGCGTGTTCGGAATGGGCAGGGCAAAATGACTCGACAGCATCCCCTAAAGTGCAGCCCCGGCAGCAAGTTCGAGCTAAAATTCTGAAATTCAGGTGGCACGTATACTATGTCCAGAAGCACAAAAAAAGTATCTTGAAGCAATATCCTAAACCCCAAAGGAAGTCGGCCATTTTGAGTCGAACTTCAGATGCTAATGTTTCCATGTCTCCTTCAAGGATTTTCTTCTCTTCTTCTCTTCTACATCTGACCAACTTCTGGTTTTGGTCTTTGCATTCTTAAAGGGGCAAAAAGCGGAGTCGTTTCACTGCTAGGTTTGCTGTTGTGCACTGCCTGTAGACCAAAACAAAGTGTGTCATTAGCCACACCTCCCTCTACCTCTGTTCTCCACCCCCCACCCCACTCGCCTCGTCTGTGCAGCCGAGCACCGCAGCATCTCCACGGACTATTACATCCAGACGGTCTCGGTGTTTCTTCCGCAGGCTCCACTTCACTCAGCTGCCCGATAAACCCGCTGTTTCTTCCCACATTAACCTGAATAACAAACCAGGGCTCGGTGCTCCGGTTGGATCCAAACGGAGAGCCGGGGCTAATGTTAGCTGGGAAGCTAGCGGAGGCTAACTGGCTGTGCTGGCAGCTGAGTGAAGTGGAGCCTAAAGAGGAAGCCCCAGTTTCACTACAGGCAGGATTGGCCCAAAGTGGCACTGTAGTTTTGGAGGAAATGTTTTTCTAAAAGTCGCAGGAGTCTGATTTTTTTTATATGTTGTTCAGGGGCCCAAGACGAGCTGGTAGACATCAGTTAGGTTCCGATCGGCTCGGTAGTTTCCGAGGGGCGGGCCTCTAAAGGTTAGCATTTTTGAACCAATTAAGGCTCGCCACGGCCACAAAAATGGACCGAACCACATGAAACTTGGGCTGTGGGCCTTACGTAAGACCTGTATCAGTCTCCCTGAGTCCCAACTCTGTAGACACTCTGCAAAGCTAACTAGCTCTGCAGTGGTCGTATCACAACGTGACGAAAAAATCCTAGCAGAAGGCTGTGTGGCACATGACATACTCGAAGGTCAGCCCCCTACCTCAAAGCATTGATGAATTATTAAAGAAAAGACAGTACTTTTTAAAAATGTGTCTCTTTGGCCGCTGCGCAGCAACCTTTGACCCCAGGGGTCCCAGATTCAGAACAGAGGATCCCCCGGAGCCACTAAACGATAATCCGGAACAAAAAAAACCCAAAGTCCTCTGGATTTTTTTTTGCCTGTTTCAGAAACTCAAAATCAGGAGCTGTCAGACTTATGCCCTCTTACACCCTTTGACCAGAGAGGAGGTTTTGGAGGAAATGTTTTTCTAAAGGTCGCAGAAGTCTGATTTTTTTAT